TTGAAAGCGAAGAGAATAATATGACATTTTCCGCCAATTACCTTGACAAAACAAGATTGATTTATTTAAATGGAATCAAAACAGTTTTGTATCGCCCTCGATTTTTGCTGTGTTATATTAGGGAATATTAAACGGGGGGAATGTTTGCATGCGTGATTGACGTTGATATAATGTACGTATTATGCTTTATTTTTTTTTTTAAATTTTTAAAGGGTGAAATAATATAAAATATATAAAGAATATGAAAATATATTGTGTAATTGCTTTAAAAAAAACTCCGCAAAAAAATAGTGAAAGTAAAATTTGGCCATTCATTGACCCAAAACTACCATAATTATGAAATTGTCATCAAAAAAGTAATTAGAAGTATTTCAAAATAAAAAGGTTATTTCACAAAAAAAGGGAAATATTCAAAATAAAAAAGTTGCTAATGAATTTTATGATTATGCCGGATTTCGCAGTTCGAACTGGAATTATTTCTTGAATTTTAATATCAATTTTATTGTTGTTGATATTTATTTTTCCACATTGCTAAAGTTTTCTTTGAATAAATAAAAATATATTTTTCATCAGTTAGTGAACGTTTTCACAGCGTTCCTATAACTTGGTTTTTTTATCGGAGCAAACAATATGAACAATGTGATTGTAGCAATGGGGACAAACAAGCAACAATAATAATCATAACAGAGCAGCTGTGAAGAATATTTCAACCATGGATTTTTTTTAATTTCCCAAGAAACGATGACATACAATTTAGCCAAACAACTTGCGCATACCCAAACACAAAGCTGAGTACTCGGAAAAGTTAAAAAATTGCAAATTCAATTTCCTTACTCTCCGGAGTGACAGCGAGAGCGCCGAGGATGATACGTGGGATTTCATGCGCCAGTTTCCTTGTCAGCGTGTTTGATTCAATTTCGCCAACACGCCTCGCTCGCTCTCTCTTGCCAGTTTACAAAACACACCCCTGGCACAAAAGCGCATGAAATCGACCTCGTGGACATGAACTGCAATAAATAAACAAAGCAAACGTAATAAAATTCGGTCGTGCAGCGTGCGCTCTCGTCAATGCTGGGCCGCCGCCGGTGCTTTGCAGCGCACAATACATTTCCGTGACTGGGAGCGAGTTGCAGCTCGGCGGCGATGCTGCGGAGCACAATGCGCGCGTGGTATTCACCGGCGGGGCAGGACGTATTGCGAAATATATAAGAAATGATGTTCCGGCGGCACGAATGCAGAATACAGACGACATCATTACTGGGCGGCGCACGCGGTGTGATTGCGCGCGCGACGGTCTTCGCGAGGATGGCCGTGTCATTATCAGGACGGCCCGGCACATTTCAAATTATATTGCCTCGCGTCTGCTGGCCGGACAGCGAAATAACATCCATATTTCAATCTCGGCAAAGCCCTCTCCGCTCCACTTTTGCTCTGAGCTGCTCATGTTTGCTGAACGTACGTGAAATGACGACGGTCCATTCCTCCGAGCGTGGGTCTTTTAAATTCTATTCCGTTATTTCCAACAAGTCAGAAAAATACTGAGCTATCTATTTTTGAACTTAGCTGGCAATCAATTAATAGCTATTTTTATATTTTTACACAATACGATTGGATTTAATAAAAAAATCATTTAATTAATTCTCAATTAAATTAATTTTGTCCCGCTTTTTCTTTTAAATTTCTACAAATTACAATCACCACTGTTCATATGGATTGAATAAAATCATATCTAAAATTACTTCAAATTTAAATATTGTAAATAAATACTAAAATTTAATTAAAAATTTCAAGGAAGGTAAATTTATTCTATAAAATTTTAATTACTAATAACAAATACTGTTTTTGCACATGAATTTTTACTAAACAAAATACGTTAATTTATCATTTAATTTATTTTAACATGAAAATTTGTTTCTTTTTTTTAGGTTTTTTTTATTTGAAAATTAAAAATTAAATGTGCATTGATAATTTCTTCATTTAAACACATAAGCCTGTGCAATAAATTACGATTTGATAATTTATATTATTTAATTTTAACAGTTAAATCAGATTTTTGCAACTCCAGCAATGAAATAATAACACAAAAATAAATAATAATGAATATGAAATAAAATTTATATTAATGAGACCTGGGATAAGCCATGTTCAAATTAAAATTTTACCATGACACATTTTTTTTTTACCAACTTAATTACAAAGCTTGAAGATGTGCAGTTGCAGAAAACGTGCATAATTATTTAAATGGAATTAGCATGTCTTATAATTGCTGCGCTTTTCCGCCGAGTAGAGATTCTTCTCTCTCTCTCTCTCTCTTGGGTAAAAGGAGTAATGCTGAGCAGCACCTCTAGAGGAAATTGCACCGCTGCTCCCAGATTGCACTTGCTCCTCTTGGGGAGAAAATTATTTGCCGGAGCAGCAGCGATGCGAGTCTCTCTTTTTGCTCGAGTGATGAGTGAGGTAATCTCGGCGCCAGCGCTCTCTCACTTAATTCTGAATGTCAGCAGGCGGCAACAAACATTAAACAACATCACCGCTTTTTGTTCTCATTTGCTTTGAGTGGATATATATGTGAGCGCGACCATAAGAGCGTCCTCCGCAGCAGCAATAATAATAATCACAGCAGACCGCGCTGCCTTTGTCACTTGGCTCGTAACGCACCGATAATAACACTCGCCAGTCGCTCCACCCGCACCGCTGTTGTGCTCGAACGAGAAACAGCCATTCCACGCGAGGAGGAAGAAGCAAAGAACTTCTTTAGCAAGAATAAAAACTTGCTCTACTTTCATAGTAACGGTGCTAAATTATAGGTTTCTTTGCAATATTTGAAATTCATTCATCGTTTAAAACGTTTTTTTAGATTTTATTTATAATAAGAATTTCAAAATTCAACAAATCACCGCTTAATACAATTATTTTGGAACAATGTATGTCAAAATATTATATTTTATTAGCGTTACAATGTTTTTTTAAATAAAAATATTTACCTCCGTAATATTATAAACTATAAGGATCTTTTAAGTTTAAAATTAGATTTTTGGCGTTTCATCCTGCGCATCAACACTGGGTGCAGTCAAGAGGGTTGGGGTGAATTCACAAAAGCCCGCTTTCTTATTCTGCGAATCAGAGCAAACTGGAGAGTGCGGTTGAGCGCAACTAGAAAAAGGCATTTCTTCCTTTGTATGCATGCGAGTGAATAATGATGACAAAGAAAGAGAAGTTCTTGCTTTCAAGGAGAAATGCACAAAAGAAAGCAATGTTGTATACGCCGCCGACTTGTGGAAACAGAGCGAAAAAGAGCCTCATTTGCCTTGGTAAATATACAGTAGCGCATGTAAAATAAAATGACCATAATTCACTGCCGCGCTCTTTTATAATCAAGAACGTTGTAACTTTTTATGGCTGCCTCTGTTCCTGTTATAGTGCCAGAGTTTATACAACAAAGTATCGATTAGGTAAACTGGAGAAATAAGAAGTGCAAATAAAAATTGATACACTCCGCTCTGCAGAATGCGCCGGTGGAGTGGAATTTTGTAAGAGCGTCATTGTTGGTTTTCTTTGAAAAGCGGCAGAGCTAGGGAGGGCTCTTTGGCAAAGCAGTTTTCAGCGCAATGGCCGATCGACACACTTCTTTTGTGCGCAAGAGTTTTCATCTGAAAAAATCCCATTGGCAAAATAAACATCAAACGTGCTGGATTCGTAGTATTTGTACAACTCGCAGGGATGATTTCCACTCAAACTTCCCACGTTTTGTAATTATCCAAGACATAGAAGTTCTCGCACAACCTCGAGGGCCAGGCAATTTATTTAATTTGCTGAAGGCGCATTTCGAAAACAATTCGCTTTTGGCGTGCTCGGCAGGAATAATGAATGCATCAAGAGTGCCGAGCAGGAAATTAGAGACAATACGCGCCTGTTTCCCTCTTTCACTCCACAAAATAAACTAAAAAAAAACACGCACAATACAAATCGTGACCTAGTCCATTATTTTATTTGCGTGCTTTTTATTCTTTTTGTGTTGATACTCAAATGACAAGAGCCATTATGTAGGCCTGGAGAGGGTGAAATAAAACTGCTTGATGCAGGTTTGCTGGCGAGACACACACACACATTCTTGTTACATTATCATGTATTCCGTGTGTGCGCCGCCGATACTCGAGGGACGCGCCGCTCCAGCAGCGTGGATGAGTGAAAAAATACACACCTCGAGACCAGCAGATAAAAGCCGTCGCCCTCTCTGTGCTTTATATGTGTTTTCAGGCCAGCCAACCCCTTTATCCCGCGCGCACCTCACTCTACTCTAGTAACAAAAAGAGCGTGCGATAAAGCCTGGGCGGGAAAAAAAATCTTGCAAATTTCTGCCGCTCCCGGGACTAATAAGCCGGCACAGGTCTGAAAAATTAATTACAACAAGGCGGCGCATAAATTTTGCAATTTTCCCCCATTGTTCTTTTCAGGCAAATTTTTAAGTAGAGCGAGGATGTCGAAGGTGCGCCTCTTTTGTGCGCCGCACAAAGAGCCACTACTATGTTCGCCATTCACTGTACTCTTCTCGGCGGTTTTAGTGGGAAACTTTATATTATTCTCCTGTAACGCGCGCATCTCTTTCTTTCTGCCGCGAAAGGAACTCATTTGCATGGAGCGGCTAAGTAAGCAAACGCTCGTAGACGACGCCAGCGTCGAAGTAAAATAAGCTCTCCGAGCGCTCGGCGTCTTTTTCTCTTGTTCGGCGCCTTTCATTTAAACAAAACGAGCAAAGAGCTGCTGAACACCGACTCGTAATGACCCGCTTGTTGAGTTAATTGAGTTTCAACTTTTGTATCATCATACGTAATACAAAATATTATGTACGTGTTTTCATAACAATTTTCTTCTTGCAAAGTAGCAAAATATTTGAGAGCAAACAAGTTTAGTGAAATACATGGACCGTTAATTAATTAATAAAAATAAATTTAACAAATGTGTACTTTCATTTAATTTTAATTGTTTTTTGTCTGTTGCAGACCATTTAAGGCTGAGAAGACTAGCGAGGCCAAAGATGCACCACAAGGTGTGACTATGTCGGCGGCAGTCGCTGGTCAAAGCTATGGGCAATCAGCGCCACTGCCGCCGCTGCACCCCGACTCACCGCAAAGAGCGTCTTCACCAGGCGAGCCGCCACGGAAGCAAACCGACCATAAACTCCCACGTGCTTCTGTTGTTAATGTGTTTTGCGCTTTGTGGCGCCGAGTGTCCGCGAGCGTGCGAGTGCAAGTGGAAGAATGGCAAGGAGTCGGTGCTGTGCGTCAATAGCAACCTGAGTGTGATTCCGGACGAGCTGGACGCGGGCACGCAGGTGCTGGACTTCACCGGCAACGCGCTGGTGGAAATTTCGCGTGACGCGTTCAGCGACGCCGGCCTGACCAACCTGCAAAAGATTTATTTGGCCAGGTGTCGCATCAAAAGTTTACACCGGTTTGCGTTCCGAAAACTAACCAACCTCGTGGAGCTGGATTTGAGTTTCAATCAGCTCACAGCAGTACCTTCGCACATTTTCGAATCCATTTCCGAGCTGCGCGAAATCAAGCTGAGCGGCAACCCTATTCAGAGAGTGTCAAACGACGCCTTCCGGAAAGTGCCGCAACTTGTACGTTTGGAGCTGAGCGAGTGCAGAATCGGAACTTTGGAGCAGCGTGCTTTTGGCGGCCTTGAAAAGTCGCTGACCTTTCTGAAGATGGACCAAAACCAACTAGTCACCATTAAGGCTTCCACTTTGACCGAACTCAAAAGCATGGCCGGCCTCGACTTACACGGCAACCCGTGGAACTGCTCATGTAGCTTGCGACCCCTTAGAGAGTGGATGTTGAGTGTAAAGATTCCGTACAGTGTTCCTCCCACGTGCAACTCACCAGCCAGAGTGTCTGGAAAGTCATGGGACAAACTGGAGCTGGACGACTTTGCGTGCGTACCTGAAATTGCTGCGAACGTGCTGGTGACGAAAGCAATCGAGGGCAACAATGTGACAATGAGCTGCAAAATTGACGGCGTCCCTGAGCCCAAAGTAAAATGGTTTTGGAAAAATCGAGTGATCGCGAATTTGACTGGCTCGGCGTTTAATCGCAAGACTTACGTGTTGCAAGAATTGGGTGAAACGGAGAAGGCGAGCAACCTCACAATTTTGTCAGCCGAAATCCAAGACGCCGGCGTCTACGTCTGCTCGGCCGAAAACAAAGCAGGCAAAGTGGAGGCAAATGTGACCCTGGCCATGTCCAGAAGGGCGCCAGAACCACCTGTGACCGGCCGAGTGGTGGTTGCAGGGATCATTGTTGCCGCCCTATTCGTGGTCGCCTTGTCGCTGGTTGTTGTGTGCGCGTGCACCATCAGAAGGAAGAACAATATGCGAACTGAGAGGCGCCGACGTCGAGAGGACAGTTATGAAAAAATTGAAATGAACCATAAGGGTGGAATGAACGGCCGTGACCTGGGAGTCACGGTCAGCGCGGCGAATTTGCAAAACCAAATTAGGAAGCACGGAGACTACAGAGGGGTGTCTTGCGTGGCCGATCCGGCGGACAGCTTAGCCAGAAAATTTTTGCCCAGAGACCACTGGGACGGCAGGTCTCCGGATGGTGCAAACAGCAGTGAGGCAGGACACAACGCTGACGTGGAGAGCTGTGCAGCGAGTAGAAATATGGTCAGCGACAGCGAGACTAGTGATCCTGAAACACTCAAATCTGGAGTGGCATCCAGTGTTAGGAGGTAAAGACAAAATGCCAATCAAGTAAATTATTATTTAATTTTTTTATAGGAAACAATATTTATTTGGTCTAATTTTACCAGTTCAGCCAAGTTCGAAGAAAGCTTATTATAAATGTTGAATAATGCGACAGTTATTTTTTTACGTATACACAAGTTACATTGTTACTAATAATATTATGATTATTATTGTTTTTTAAACACTTTGTTCTAACAAGAGTTCTTATTTTTTAATTTCCCATCATTTTTTCTATGTATACTTTAAAAGTCAATTGGCAACTTATATTATATTATTCTTCAAACGAGGTATTAAATAATATTCTGAGATTCTATCAAAGTAATTATTCTCTCTCATTGGTTCTATCACAAGATTAAGCATTAACATTATTTGATATTTGAGTATTATAATTTAAAAAATTGTAATATTAAAAAATTCTATGTAATAAAAGATTAGAAAAATAAAATTTTTTATTTTTTTTTTTACTATTATATTCAATTATTATTTTGCAATTTCCATTTGAAATCCTTATTAATTATCACTCAAAGATATATTGTACTTTTGGCTTGGCTCAATTTACGACATTTGCATTTAATAAAAAAGAAATCTTGCAAACAATCCAAAAAGTGAAAAAAAATATTCAGTTTATAATCATGTCGTGCACTTGGTTGAAGAAAATGTGAACAAAGTTTTTTTGTATTTACAAAAAATCCTTTATCATGGCACCACTCAGCCGATTGAATGGTCGGTTGACGAGAAACAATAATTTTCATGAGCAAACAAAATCACTATGTCATCTGCGAAAATTAATAATGAAATTCTTTAACAGTGGAAACAGATCATTTATGAACAAAAGAAATTATGTTAAAGTTTAGAATTTATTTTCATCTATTATTTACCTTGGCACTTCAGCTTTTCTAGTTCTTTTAGTCAGTCAAATTGCATTCAATTTTTATTAATAATAAATAATAATAATTAGTAATAAAAATTGTCTTATATTACTTGGGGCGTTCTCAAGTATTCATGAAAACCATTTAAAATTTCTGGAAGTTGCATTTTTGAGATACATGCCGTAAAAAAGTGTCATCTTAATTAAGAATAAACATTTCTACCAAGACCAAGATTTAATTATTTTTTCACATTTATATTTATTTTATATCACCTTGGCACGATTGATTGAAATAATAAAATAATTAAATTTTGCTCTGCTTGCTTTAATTTTTGGTCTACGGTGTTTAAAAATTTATTTTATAATTTTGACTATGTGTAGTTTTAATTTATTTTATTTATTTTTTTTTATAATTAATTTTTACTTAGCGAAATAATTTGTCTCTAATGCTGGTCGACTCCTTGCAACTCCGAGCTCATAGAATTTGATTCTGCGCAATTTTTTCAATATAATTTTGCTTTATTTGTGTTCCCCTTTTTGTTTTAGTGGCCGAATTGAGTTACCAACTTACAGTCACGCTTCCTCCACCTTGGGCAGGAATTTCCACTTCAACTCGTCCAACTTCGCTGGCCACCAACTGGACAGTCACTCAGAAAGGGTGCCCAGCATAGAGATGAAAGACTTACACATCCACGCTCCACCACTGCCACCTGACCCTGACGAGGGCAAGTACCCGCCGTTTGACCCTCGTTTTAGTTCAGACACTTTTTGCACATTACCTCGACGTCTGCAAGACCGACGGTGGCGCCGGGGCGGCTGCTCGGACAGCAGCCAGTCGCCCCTGCTGCCGGACAGTCGCTACACCAGCAGCAGTGGCGACTCCATGCGTCGCTTTTCGACGGACAACGTCAGACACCAACGCTCGTCCAGCTCGCTCAACTTGACCTCGGACATGGCGCACTTCACGTCAACAGCCGCTATCGTGAGTGGAGGCGCAACCGGACTTTCTTTCAATAAGAGAAAAACACTTACGCGATTCCCTAGCCTGCCCACGTCACCCGTGGACAACCTTATGGAAAACCCGCCCGTCTACGCCACCCCTGCCACTACGAGTAATGTGGTGAACTCGTACGATTATCATGCGGCGCAGCTGGAGCGCTTCTTGGAGGAATACCGAAGTCTGCAGGAGCAGTTGAGCAAAATGAAGGTTAAGAGAAACACATAATATAATGATTAAAATCAAAAGTTATTTTTCATTGCAATAGCAATAGTCAAAAAAATTAAATGAATGCTAAGATATAACTTTAAAATTTATTTACAAAAAAAAGAAAACTAAAAAAATAAAAACATCACACTTTATTTAAATATTATCATCATTTTGTCACCACCATATTTACTTAGATTTTGATATTTGTTCCCAGGAGACGTGTGACACTCTAAGAAACGATAACCGCCGCAGTTTGGCTGAACCTCTCCTCAATGTGAACGCTTTGGCGGATGAAGTAAATAACTCGAGGGCGATTATGAGTAGCCAGTCCACCGCGGCTGCCACGTCGGTCAACCCCTCCGCCGAATTCAATCCCCAAAACCACAATAACGCGCCGTTCTGGGTGCCCAGAACTTCACTGAGACGTTTTAGCGGTGGCAGCGAGTTTTATCAGAGCTGATTTCTTCAGCTCCTGACGCGTGTGAGTTACTAATGTTGAGACGTTTTTTACAGGCATTCTTGGCCGTGAATGAATTTGACATTGCGCTGTAAATATTACTATAGTGTTGTGTGTGTTTTGCGTCTTAAATGGTGACATTTTTATCACTTGTTGTTGAATGAAATATGTTGTTGTTACTCTGAAGAATGATGCTTTTATCGTAAAGCATTTTGTAAGCGCCATATTATCGTGGTTATAATATACAGTTGGAAAATCGATATTATATATAAAATATAAACGAAAGAAACCAAGAACTCGTTGCATCTTGGCAGTATTCTGTGTTGATTTCTTTGCTACTTTTCCGTCAATGAGAGCAGAGGAATTTTTAATTCACCCACGTGCGTGAAAGGAACAAAAAAAACTTTTTGATTAAATAAAATAAATTTCATTTTCCTCAAACTGGTGTAGAGCAGCTCTCTCGATGCGATACATTAATTGTATCTCTCGAAAATACATAAACGCTGTACAACAATAAAAATCTTCCTGTTTTAATACTTGCTCTCGTTTCCATTGTCAGCAAAAATCATTCTGATTCATAATCTATTGCCTGCTTTTTTTATTTTGCTTCGTCCGTGTAGTAAGAATACACATGAAAATAAAGAAGAGGTTTGAAGGGGTTGCATATTATAGGTCCCCAGGATCAGGCAGCTCGCATCTATAAAAATCTCGTAAAATTTATGAGGACCGTCGCAGCACGACTGGCGGCGGCGCGTACAGAGGCGAACAGTAGAACCAGAGATAAATAAAGGTGCACGGGAGGTACACGCACGTCCCAGCGAGGTTTTATTCGGAAAAATGCCCTCCGCAATTCTCCTAGAGAGAAAAACGCGGCGGAAAAGCAGCGCGAGTGTTTGAACCAGGCAAAAGGCGCAAGAGGTGGTTGTAAAGAGCGGCAGGGGCAATATAAAAATAAAGTTGACGGTGTAGTTGAAACGAGTGGCCAGAAGAAATGGCCATACTGTGTATTTGTCCTTATTGGTATTCTGTTAGCGCTGTTTGGCCAAGGATTGAGAAAAGAGTTATCGCTTTCCTCCTTCGCCCCGTGTTTATATGTGTGCGCTGCGAAATGGAGGAGAAAAAGCAAAAAAAGGGTTGCCTAGAGCGCAGGGTCTTTTCCTTAAAGGGGACTTTTGAACAAAACAAAAGATTTTTTAAATTGTTTTTAGAAGGAAGGAAAAATAATCTCCTGAAAAAAAATTAAGATCACTCAAATATTGCTAACTATTACATAAATTCAATTAAATTGAAAAAATAATAATGTATTTATTTTTTATTTATTTGTTTAAAAAAAGGATATTTTTTTATACTGCCACCAATTGAAGGAAAAGCAGGCTACATTTTACTAACTATGGATTTTTTATTATCTAAAAATCTTGTAAATTTTAATTTTTCTGAAGTTACACTTAATTAAATAGAATAAAATTTGAACATTTTATTGATATATTATTTTTACTCAAAATTTTCTTTTACTGCCAAATAACAGCTCCTTAAAAAATTATAATATAATTATTAGTGTTGTGTTTTCATTACAAAAATTTACTGTTGTTTTCTTTGAATTGAAACATGACTTATTTATGATTATTTGGATGATTGAATTTTTTCAATCATCCAAACATTCTTATCCCACAAATTGCGCGCAAGCAGCTGGAGTAGGGTTATCTATTTCAGGAAATCTGAAGCAGCACAACATAATTGACAAAGACACGGGGACGCATAAAACACCTGCGACTGCAATGGCTCATAACGTGAACTACAATGACGGCGAGAGGAAATCGTGACTGAAACCACAGAAAAGTTTATTCCTTGTTCATAGCATCATCCTGGACTGGTGGGTTTATTTTATTAAAGAACAAATTAAATGAATTATTTATATAAATTTTAAAATATCGAAAAAAAATTTTAGGAGGGGTTTCTTAGTATAAAAAACAAAAAACACCAAAACATCATCAATATTGATTTTCATGGACCAAATTATTTAAATGAGCTTTAATAGTGCTATGATCAATGAAAGGAAAATTATTAAATTATAAAAATGATATCAGCCGTGGGAAAAATAATATTATTGCTAATAAGTTATTTTTCATTTAGGGCCTTTGTTTTTATTATCAAGGGAGGCGACCGTGCAGGAAGGAAAAACGCAATATGTTTTTTTTTCTCCGCGATATGCGGCTCGGCCAATTTTCCGGCACACATACGGGTAATTGAATCGGGCTTTCCTTCCTTCCTTCCTTCCTCTCGCAGGGCGTGAAATCACGTGTCGAGCTGAACAGCGGTGCTTTGTTTGTATGGGCGGTGGACGCTTTGCCGCTCGTCGGATTATGTTTGCGACAATGCAATAGGCAGCATGTTACACGTGCCTCGCATTTGTCTTTCGGGTACTCAATATCGTCGTGAGCTCCAGCAGGCGAACCAACCGTTTGCTGCACAAAGCCGCGGGGAGTGCGGTTTTTCTCTCTCCGACACACACACGATGGCGGATGACACGATCGCGCGGCACAAAAAAGGGAAAAAATAATAATAATAACACGCCGCAGAGGTGTACGGGGAGGGTTGAGGTAGATCCGAGATTTAGAGGAAGCGCTCATGGAAAATGAGAATTAAAATTTATGCGACGGCATGAACTATTTTTGTTGGGCGATGGCAATTTTATGCGGGCGACAGCCCCGGCGGGGATGGAAAAGAAGAGCTTTCGTTTTTCTTCCACGTCCTCTGAAATTACGAGCTCCTCAGGTGTGCCTTTGTTAAAAAAAAATCTAAATAACCACTGCAGAATGAGTGTTTTTCTTCTTTTTAATTAATCAGGTGTATTTGAAAGGATTGCGTTAACTATGAGAAGCCATCCGGCTCTGTGTACAAAAAGTTAATTAACAACAGCATCCGTTTGGGAGAAAATCATGCAGTCAAACGCAACCACCGCGCCAACTTCCCCGAACTTAATTAAAATGACAAAAAAATGGCCGTGTAACAAAGGGTCTTTAATGAATTTTCCACGACTTCCTGCGGCGCACTGTTATGTACATATTCGCGCTCGCGTTTTTTGCGTATACGACTTTGTGAGTCGGCGACGCGCTAAAAAGCAATCAAGTGCACGGACCGAAGAGTTGATTCGCCGGGGGCTGAATTGGAAATGCTTGTCTCTTGTAGCACCTCGAGCGGAAATTCTCTCCGATCAGCAAAATTATAAAGCACTAGTGCGCCGCCGAGCAAAGCAACTTCCCTCTACTCAGTACATTGAGTTGCGCGCCTCTCTGTCGATTTCACTTGACAGAGAGAGAGTCAATTCAATTGTGTCGGTGGATCACTTGATTGCATATGCTTGCACTAATATTGAATGTTATTTAACATGATTCAACTGATTTTAGGCATTTATATTAGCTGGAAAAATATTTGGACCTTAAATTTAGTTGCACAGAATCAATCATAATTTAATAGCTCACAATGATAAAAATAATAAGATTCTTATAAACAGTTCAAAATCAAAATCATTGTTTTCTTTTTATAATTTATAAAGAATTATAAATAGATTTTTTTCATAAAATTAAATCCGAATTCCTCAGTGAAGATCAGCAACTTTATTGTTTCTGTACGATACAGAAAATCCCTGTTTCATTCTTTCGTTTCGTCTTCCGACAAGAAAAGAGATGATGAATTGTGTAGATTTTCTGTATCATGCAGACACATTAAAGTTGCTGATTTTCACCAAGGAAGCCAGATTTTATATCATCAAAAAATGAACACTTTGAGTGCCAAAAGGTTCCTTGTCTACAACTTCAAGAACCTCTATAAAAACGTAAAATAAAGATTATATCTATATTTTATTCAATATATATCCTTGATCCAATGAGACTGCTGAATTTAATGGAGATTTGTTGCTTAACATTCAATTGAGGTAGGTTCATTGTGTGTATATAAGTATTTACTGTAATAATATTAAGATTTGATATAATTTATACAATTCAGCAGTGTTGCTGTAATTTAAAATTTAGATTATTATTTAAAAGAAATATTAATATTATTGTATTGTGTTGTTTTAAAAAAATGTAAAAATTAAAAAAAATAAAGGAAATTTAAAAAAAAATATTGTGATTTCATTAAAATAAATATAACTATTACAATATGCAATATGCGTAATTATTCAAATTTTATTAAAGCAAAATTGTGAATTTGTTGTTTCTTTAAATTGTGTTTTAGGTTGAATCCTGGAGCAGTTTCAATTGAAACGGTCTCATAAATTTAGTTTCTGCAAAGACTATTATGAAAGGTCAGCGTGAGGTGCAAAAATTGCCAATAACAAAGGGCGGGAGGAGGTCGTGCCGAAAAAAGGCTGCACGAGAAAAATCCGGCAAGGAGAATTGAAATCCGCTTTGTCATTTATCTTTGTATCTGAAATAGCAGCGGCATTATGTTTGGCAGGGCCGGGCCATAAATTTCCTCGGGACCATCAGCAGCACCATGTGCAGCCGTGTCCATCATTATCGTCATTATTTCCGTACCTGGGCCGCCGTCGGAGCGAAAACGCGAACCGCCCATCAGAGGGCGAAATCATCTGGCTGCGAATTTCGATTTTCTCTCCTTGCCGCCGCGTTATTTTTTCGCCTTTTCTCGTCATGATTTTTCCTACCTTTGGCAATCTTTCCTCGTAAAAAAAAAACGGGGGGCTCGTCTATTTGCTCTCGCAGCTGCTGCTGCTTCGGAGCAGCTGAAATGAGGTTGATTCAAGCAACACACCCTCCGCTCCGCCGCCCTGCCTAACCTGCGATTTTCAATCTAAATTTTACTCCCTCACTCACTCGCTCTCTATTTCTGCTGGCGCCCTCCCTTTCTTTATGCATCCTGGATTGAGGTTAAATTGGAATTCTATCTCCATATTTTAAGGGCTTGTAAAACTCGCGAGATGATCCGTGCATAAAAATATATATGCGCCGCCGTAAAATCAGCTCATTGCCCTCGAGTCGTCGCTGACTGGCGAGGTCGGTAATCAATTTTGCCCCTTTTCACCCGGCGCGCCCGTGGATGCAGGAAATTTGGAATTATGCTTGAGCCAATTTTCTCGCACAAACCGGCCCAAGGTTTTTTTCTCGTCCGACGGCTTTCGTTGAAAATAAGTGCCTCGATTGATATTGAGGAAGGAGCTCCATTTGCGTGCAAATTTCTTTTGCATCTCTTCAGACGCAATCTGCCCTTTTTCAGGCTCGGAAAAAAATAATATTTTCTTTCCAAATAAAATTATCAGGGATTTTTAAGTAATTTAAATTTGGTTCAATTTATTATTTGTAGAAGAGCACGCAGGGTTTATTAAAGCGAGCGTGTTTACTTCAAGGCTGGAAGGGCTGAAGTTTTTAGCGAAGAGTTTCTCCGCAGAACTTGTTCGCCAAAGTAGAGGCACGGTCAAAGTTTGGACGCG